CTTGGAGGAACCTTACTACAGATTTATCATTAAGGTTAAATAAGGCTTGTTATGCAATAAGGGCAATAAAGCCATTTATGTCACTAGAATCAATGAGGATGATCTATTATTCCTATGTACATTCTTTATTGTTGTATGGTATTATCTTATGGGGTAATGCCCCTCATAATGAGAGTATCTTCAAAATTCAAAAAAGAATAATAAGAGTTATATCTGTTTCGGGTAGACTGGATTCATGCCGCGGATTGTTTAAAAAATCACAAATATTGCCACTTCAGTCTCAGTACATTTTCTCCTTGCTTCTTTTTGTCATTAAGAACAGAAATTATTTTATAGCTAATACCGATATTTATGATATCAACACACATTATAATCACAATTTATATTTACCTTCTACAAATCTATCAATAGTTCAGAAAGGAGTGCTTTTCTCGGGTAGCAAGATTTATAACCACTTACCCTCGAACATTAAATTGCTATCCAAAGATATTAAAGAATTCAAATTGTTATTAAAAAGCTATCTCACTGAACATGCTTTTTATAGTATTGATGAATATTATAAATCAACTTCTCAGTGAACACTTTGTCTTGATTGTCTCTCCTACGGATAATATAATTACACAGCTTATGTATCTACTACAACTGTATCAGTGTTTGTATTATTGTATCAGACTGCACTAATTTATAGTGGTTCTTAGTGTTTTCATTTGTCCTTGTATGGGTTAGGAATGTATATTTTATCATCTTATGTTCAAACATGGTTATGTATGTATATTTTATTATTTTATGTTTAAACATGACAGATTATATATCCAGTAGGTTCGTTTGACCTTATATGGATTGACAGAATGCAATAAATAAAGTAAAGTAAAAGTAAAGCCTTGTGTCTACAACAGGCAAATTATTCAAAAAAGTTATTCTGAAAATAGTCCAAAAGCACACATAAGAAAAGGGCCTGCTTAATGGAAGCCAGTTTGGTTTCTGTGCCCATCATAACATTAAACTTCAAGGTATGAAGCTTACAGACTATGTCTCCTTAAATTTCAACAATAATATGTCTACAACTGCTGTATTCTTGTACAGTGAAAAAGTCTTTGATACAACTTGGTACCTAGCCTTGCTATATAAATTACTGGAATTAAAGAAGAAAGTCGTCTTCTGAGTTTTGGCGCCGTGTGTTCTTCATTTTGGCTGTTTCGTTTCCTCCAGCCTGTCAAGGATCACCTGGGACTGAGGACGCCAGGAATTTACAGAATTCCATGCAAGTGCGGCAAGGTCTACATCGGGCAAACGGGCCGTTCTGTGGACATGAGGTTGAAAGAACATCAACGGCATCTACGATTAGAACATCTGGACAAGTCAGCCGTAGCTGAACACAGCATCGAGCTAGACCACCGAATCCAGTTTCACAAAACCGCCATAATCACCAGTAAGAGCCGTTACCTAGATCGCATAATCATGGAGGCCGTTGAGATCGAGCTCCATCCGAACAGCATGAATAGGAAACAGGGTTCTGTCTCAGCAAGTCATGGAAGCCTCTCATCTCTTTCCTCAAGAGAACTCCAACAAGCCACCCCAGTTCTTCGTCATGTCATTGACATCAGTAGCCTGTCCCCTGTAATCATGTCATTGACATCAGTAACCTGTCCCCAGCCAACCAGTTCTTCTTGTCTAACCGCAGCCTCCAAGTGCTATTGACCTCCAGCTTCCTGGATTCACTGGCCGTCCCCCCCCCCCTTAGCACCAACACCATATGGCCTTATTCGCTCTCCACTGGTCCTATTGGTCTGCTCTTCCTAACCACGCCCCCTGCCTACTTCCTATATAAAGCAGCGCCTTTCACTTCCTAATCATTACAGCTACTGCTTTCTGCACTCACAAGCCATTCACCTGCTCTGAAGATGGAGGCGATACGTTCCTCCGAAACGTCAGCCAAAACGAAGAATACATGGCGCCAAACCCCAGAAGACGACTTTCTTCATAATCATCGCCGTGAAAACCTCAAAACCTACTGGAATTAAAATTTTTGATCACTCTAATAAAGCTTATTAGCACTTTTCTTTCTCAGAGAAAATTTAGAGTTTGGGTTGAAGGTGAAATGTTTATGCCTATACAACGAAGACCTGTTGTAGTTTACATTGGTGCAGAGCACTTAAAGAGTACACAGACAAGATTGGTGCATATCCTTAGTTAATTATGAAGATCAGTTGACTACATATTTGGAGAGGAGTATAAAGTGATTGAAGACAAGACTTTATAGTGATTTGAAGTCATAGTTTCTGTGTTGAAATCCATGGCTAGACCACTAGAGGGAACTCAGAATATAGTGCATGTGGAACAGTGAACTGGAAAGTGTGTTAATCAGCAACAGTACTGTATTATGTGTAATTAAGAGAGATTGTAATTGAAGTGCTAATAAATCCACTCATCCGAAGTAGAACCCGTTATTTTTGTCAAGCATACCCCCATACACGTGACATTTCTTTTCATCCATTATTCACCGGAACATCTTGGACCTGACAAAGAAAACTGAATGAGGGAGACAGCAAATGAAAACAGAATATTCTGGGGATGGAACCACACGGAAATCAATCATTTGAATGACCAAGGAAACTTGAGAATAACATTAGGACCTGAGGAACAGGTGCCATTACTAAAACTACTTTCTGGTCAAGCATACAGCTCAGGAAGCGTGAATAAACAGTGTGAAGCATTTTCAGTTATCAAATGTTTTAATACATCATTTCACATTACATTGGAATGATAGACTCTGGTGAGCTGTCAATATGACCAGTATATCGGATCACAATGAATACAATACTGTCAAACAGAGGGCGACAACAGCTTTCAGTAGCAGCCAAATGCACATCCATGTTCTGCCAGAGCAAATTAATAAATCCATCACTTGTTCTACATTCCACTTTAAATACGATTGGTAGATAATAATCAACTGTACTCTGGAAAGAAAAACACAAATTCATAAATTCATTCTAGACACAATACATATTAGAATTATCTGGAAAATCTATTACTGTCCATTAAATACCCTTTCCTAATATCACCAAATACTATGGCCTGACATTTAGAACAGACACCATGTTCAGACATTTAATTGCAAAGGGTCAAATTTTCTGTTTTTCTCACTCTAGGCCGGAAAGAGTTTATGGGAGGCTGGAGAAATCAGTGCCAGAACTACCAAAGAAAGACTCTGATAATAGTTTCATTAGTAGAATAAATCTGATCAGCATTAAGTTAAAATGTGGTAGTTAATCAGCCATTCGGCCTGACCTCAGTATTTCAATTAAAGAAATGTCATCCTCATTAATGGAAATCTGAAGAGAAAAGTAAGGGTTCTATCTAGTTTTCAATGTAGTGCAGCTAAGTGTAGCTTCCATTGTTCCTACAAATATTTTTCTATATCACACACTGTAAAACAAGATCAAGAAACAAGAGAGATTTCCTTCAGGTTCTTTCAGTTATGACTGGAAGGACAGAACTCATTCTGAACATAGCAGTCCCATGTAGGGTCATGATAATCATCAATTGATCTTTGTTATTTATGTGCTTACTGAACCAAAAGGCCAATTATAAAGCATGAGCACAGATGCAAATAAAATAAACACACAAAAACAAAAGACAAAAAAAATGGTAACTTGTATAATTTCAATAGTGACTACTCAATTCGTGCAATCCTCCCAACCATGGTGTGATAAGGAGGGGGGAGAACCATGCCAGCACACAAAAACACACACACACACACTCATTAATCTTGACTAGAATTGTATTTTAATAATTAAGAAGTACAGTTACAATTCTGACATGCCAAGCAGGAACTCAAAGACCAGCAGTTTCCAAAAGGGGACAGAATTTAGTGCCATGGTAAACTTAAATAAGGAAGACTGCATCAAGGTGATAACTCCTCTAATGTAAGGTGTCCAATTTTAACTGCTTCTAAAGCATAAGCGTAACTTAAATGGACGTCAGAAAATATGATGGTGATGATAATCTAGACCATTTACACAATCTATAAGTTTGTGACGATGGTACTTTAGCACAAATATTATGTTTCTGGATATTATCCATCATCCTGTTTTTACTTAAGAACACTGTCCTGTTCATATTTCAAAACGTGTTTTTGAGACTGGATTCTGTCTCTGTCTTCAGTGCAGCCTAATCGATTATACCCCATGCCTATCTCTGGACTAGCTCTATTGATTGCGCCCGACTGAGTACATTTTACCTGATGATGGAGACAGAATCCAGTCTCCCAAAACGTTTTGAAATAAAACATGACAATGGATAATGTCCAGAAACATAATATTTGTAGATCATTTATGTCTGCCCAGCTGTATGGCAGGACTTTAGAAGGTAATCCCTGGGGTCATTCAGAGTGGAAAAAATTTTATATCAAAATGGATATGATTCTCGGTGGTTACACAGCTATGGGCAGGGGAAGTTACAATGATGTAATTGGGACAAACATGTTTATTAGAACAAAAAACACTTCATGGCTGTATATGATTTTACATACCCTGGACTTTTTTAACTGCTGTAACAAATGTTCACTATGTCTGCCTTTAATGCACATTCTTGCCCATTTCACAACAATGTGTAATGTGACAAAAAACGGAACCTCAGTCATTGATGTGTGTGGCCACACGGACAATGCAACAAAATTCCTCATGTGTCCAACCTGCATTCATGGAAGGCATGGGAGCTAAGGTCAGGTGATCATAATGGCCAATTCTGTATCAGTGAAGGCAGGAGTGTGCAATCCAAGTCTCAAGGATTGAGGTGCTCAATTTGTTGGAGATAATGTTATATTTTAGCGTCCTGTTGCACTGATTCATGTCCATGATTTATTCTATCCATCTTACAGTGCATACATTTATTCACCTTACTCTTCTCTCTTGCACTACATGTTTCAGCACAAAAGTGCCATCTTCAGGTGCTTTTCGATGTACGTCAAACTACTTTATTGCATGCCCTGTTGTCTTTATACTAAAATATATATTCATCATACATATTGATAAATATATATTTTAGTATAAAGACAATGAAGTAGTTTGACGTACATCGAAAAGCACCTGAAGATGGCACTTTTGTGCTGAAACATGTAGTGCAAGAGAGAAGAGTAAGGTGAATAAATGTATGCACTGTAAGACGGATAGAATAAATCATGGACTTGTTGGAGATAATACAGAGTTTAACACCCACCACACTGTTGTGCATGGATGGAACAATGAGGAAGCAGAAATTTATCAGGTACTGATACAAGGACTGCAAAGCACAGTTCCAGTAATGTGCTCCTTGCCATGCACGTTTCCCCTCACAGGATATTCAACTGGCAATGACACACTGTAAAATATCCCTCTTTCTAGCCTGTTGATGGGTAATATAAAATACACCTGTATCAGGGATTCTTTGTTTTGGGAATTGTCTCCTATATTACTCAACAGCAGCAGGAGGAATTCTGTTACAAAACACACAAAGTGAATGCCTGCATGTTGTTCGTTACTAAATGAAAATGGTATGTTTTCCATTAAATTATGTATTATTGTACCAATGCTACACAACCTGCTAGCTGCTGCACTACTGTAGCATAGATCTGCATTCCAACACATTTCAGCTTATATACCATTTTCTCCTACCCACAGATCTGCAACCTTGAGAAGCACACCAATGTTGATTAAACATTTATCAGTGTTTCACTTAGAATTATGGCAGGAATGCATACCTGTCAAAATATCATTTAAAACAGTACACAGCCACAGGAAATTTTTGCTTCAGAATCACTGGTCCAGAAATCAGACATGTCTAGTTAGGTAGACAGAAGTGATAAATCTCAGGTTCAGTATTTTAAAGAGGAGGATAATTTTAATTTTCTCCAGATTTTAAAGGCATTAGTGAAAAGTTTAAGTTTAAAAAATACAAGCATTCATAAATGTATATATATTTGTTATATTCACCTGAGTAGTCATTGCTATCAAACCGCTTATGCGTGTTCTTCACTCCACCACCATAGTTCTCTCGGCCACGACCATAGCTTCCATATCCCCAACGTTGGCCACCTACAAGAACACATTAAGAAAAAGAAACTATGCTCAACATATTATATGCATCACAGAATTTAATGGCATATGCATATAAGACAATGACAGTGAAAACAGAGTTGCTGGACATAAGCTGGGGGATGACAAAAGAAGAAGAGAATCAATGTGTGCTCATACACAAAAATACGGAGTACTGTGCCTAGGGCATGTAATGTTATGCAAGAAGTTCAATGCAAAAATAAAATCTTACCTTGTTCTTGTTCTCAAAGATGTGACACTTGCTGACAGACACAAACAGCACAATAGCTGCTGATCACAGTCACAATCTTCCTCCTCTAGATTACCTGGTGTATTTACATGCATAATTTATGCAAACCCTACTTTCTGACAAGAAATTGTGGGGGGGGGGGGGGNATACTATATTTTTATTCATGATAAAATTTTGAGCAATGCATAATTTTTGTGGAAAATGTGATTAAATTATATTAAGGCATGATTTCCTGCAATAAAAAGTGTTCATGTGTTACGGTACTGGTACAGATCTGGTGGACATACTGTAAATACATATGGTATGCTTACTATGAATATGGGTATTTTGTATGTAGGGGGTGTATGTGCTGTTGTAGCTTTTATGTGGCCTGAATTTTCTTAAGCATACAATATACTGTGACGTGACTCTGACAGAGATGTGATGTAAAAATTGAATTTTTAGATACTAATTCAGTGTTGTGTGTTATGTAGTACTGACTTCTCACCTCTTTGTAGCATGTTTTTGATATACCTCATATGGGAAGTGGTAGGTGACTGAAGTGTGTGCTGAGGGTTCAGGTAATATATTTGTGATTTTATTTGCATATACCTGAAGATGGTCAGTGAGGACAGAAACATGTTGTGTTTTTGATGTGATATAATAAACAGACTGGCTCACTGGTACATTCAATGCAATCACTTATTATATATTATATTATTATTATATAAGGGCCAAAATATGACATGCTCTGTGATGGTACAGAAACCTTGATTCATACCATGTTACTCCATCACATTCAAATTTAATTGCATCTTTTACAAAAAATTATGCATAGGATGAAGTTTTATCAAGAGACATGTTGGTCTTGATGTTCTTCAAGAAATAGTGGAGTGTAGTCCATAGACTGGGAATATCCACAATCTGTTCATATAATGCATTCAACTTTTAAACACATTTTCCACAAAAATTACATTTCAGTCACAATATGATCAAGGAGCAATTTCATCTTAATATTTATAAAGGTATTTTGCGGTCTGTAGGTGTGAATATCTATATCCACAATGACTACCATGTCACACTCAACTTCAATCACATTTTCATCAAATTTATGCATTGATTGAAATTTTATCAGGGGACGCTTCAGCTCAGTGTTCATCAAGGAATCATGTGTTGGAGTCTGCAGATATTAACAGGCAATACAACGTTGCAACATAGCATTTAACTGCCTCGGTATAATGCAAAAATTATACTCTAAAAAGTAGTATTCAAATATTTTATGCAACCCAACTTACAGAAATAATTCTTTTGGGGGAAAAGTGTACATTATGTGAGTAGATACAGTATTTGTGATGCCACTTTCTCTGAGAAAGTCCTTCTCCTACAGTTGTTCTGCATTCCTCACAAATCTGTGAATATCAGGCAGTCTAAAAGTGCTACTGAGGGGGTTACTTCTCCCTGCAATGTTGTCCACAGCTCAGCTGGATTATTGTGAAAATGGTAAGGAGGTAATCTAATTATAAGGTGACCAATTTCATTTGCTACCTGGTCTGGTTCATACAACTTTTCTTGATCTTTATGGGTGCAATGCAAAGATTAACTCAAGTGTTGGTGATATTCATTACAATTCCTTTGCAGACATTCTTTAACATCCTTCTAATGAGATCATGTTAGGACCTTTGTCAATGTGGGGCAAGTGATAGCTTTCGGCCACAGAAAACCCCACAACAGAATGCTGCTCTATGGTACCACACTCCTCAAGCATGATCATCATTCCACCTACTGAAACCAGCTCTGAACATGCACATGTGTGTATGCTACCTAGCTTGTCATGAAGCTTGACTATGCTGCTACCTAGTGGTATAGAAAACCTAATTACAGCTGTTTTACTTCCATTTGTAACCTATTTACTGACTCTCCCTTGCACTTACCTCTTTTTCCATACCCTCCACCACCTTGCCTGGCCAGCTCAGCCAGCTTAGGGTTAACCTCCTGATTTGCCTCTCGAAGTACTGACACCAGGTCCTTGGCTTGTCGACTGTTGTTTGGGGTAAAGAATGCGTAGGATGTGCCTGTTGCATTGTGACGGCCAGTGCGACCGATGCGGTGGATGTAATCTTCAGAGGAGTTTGGGTAATCAAAGTTGATCACATATTTGATCCCATCCACATCTGTGCATTGAACATGTAAGCTCAATTTCTCTAATACAATATAAATAAATGGCTTGTTTTATACAAACTACAATACAATACAATAGTGGTAAAAACCTTCTGGCATTATGCAATGTAACCGAAATCTGGCATGGAATTACCCCCCCACCCACACAAAAAAAAATGAATACCAAAGCATGACAGCAGAATATAAATGATGGTCCAACTCTCACCCAACAGAGGCACTGCTAGATGTTAAGACACTGCAATGGCAATTATCTTGCATGTGCCTCTAAAACAGAATATATCAGACTGATAACAATCCAGAAGATTGAGAAACATAATTTAAAAAACAAATATTGTTGCATTGGCAGAAACTCAACCCGATATCTTGCTGGACCTTAACTTGCGTTTCCATTCTTGGGTGATGGTACCATGTTGTGATGGACTGACTTACCAATATTTACATCACCTCTTTCATAGTTCCCAGCCAGGATCATGGCAGCAGCCTCTTTGATTCTGGATGTTTGAGAATATGAAATAAGATTCTAATGGGCAGTGAATACTGAGACTGTGATCCTCTGGAAATGACACCAGGCAGTATGGTAAATGGTTACCAACATTATGGAGTAACCTTCTACCTTTTATTTTCACGGTAGCCATCTACCACACTATATATACCATCTATACAGTATTACATCATAAAGAACATAATTTTAAGAACCTGAGATTTTAAGCAGCCCATTAGTCCAAAACTGTCAATATGGGGACTAGATTTGCCATGAGACATTTTCCTTGAATATGGAGCTGCGAATCTTCCTGAAATGTCAGTAAACCAGCTTATCAAATGTGTATTCACCCAGAAATGAAAACACAAGTCTTCTCTAACTTCTGTAACAACTGAATTATGATTGTTGAAACTTTCTGTGTCCCTTTGTGATACAATTTTAGTGTCACTTTCGAGTATCTTTAGAATAGAAATCACCGAAGAATGAATGACATGGGCAGACACCAACTTTTGGCAGCCTCAAACACTCAGACCTCTACTGGGTCCAATGCACAAAGGCAAACATAAACCATACTCTCTACCATAAAGCAAATCTTCATTAATTCTTTATAACATATCACGACTGAAGCATGAATAAAAAAGAACAAACAGCTATGTTATGAGTTCCATTTATGGCAACACGAGACGTCATAGAGTTGGCCACATCAAGTTCAAGCAGTTCAGTCCATTACAGAGGCAAGGAAATTTAAAAGATAATCTTAAAAACACTGAATCTGCATTGCCCTTGCCAATGGTGGCTGTTACAGGGACCATACATAAATGAAACAGCTGGGAGATGGCTCATTGTCATGTTCACAACACGCTTCACATTGGAACATATATGAGCACTGGCATATGCAGCGCTTCATATAAATAATTCCTTCCCACAAGAAAAATTTGTCATCAGTATGAGCTGTGTAACTTCTGGCAGTATCAGGCAGTGCAACTTGTATACTGAACTTCATGACTTCTATCTTGACAGTATGGGGCATGGGTGTCATTATCTTAACAACACAGATGGTGTGACTATCCCAACAATGTGGGTGAAGTGCCTCCTATTTTAACAGCACAGCAAAATCCCAATTTAAGGGACATATGGGAGAAAGGCTTTTCTTCCAGTGAATTAAGATTATCACTAAGTGGCGGTTATAAAGAATTACACCAGGAACTGCACACCTCTTTTTACTCAATGTATATGATTATATTAAAATCATCAGCCAAAAAGCTTTTCCTATCAAAATAAATATAACATGATCAGTAACAAATTAACTTCTAACGACATAAGAAATAAACACAAGAGTTGTGCAGGAATGTGAGGTTCTAATGGCAGTGACTATAAAGACTCCTGTCTTTATGCATGTGGCTCGGTGTAGTTTGGTAGGTAAATGCTCAAGTTTCAACCATTAAGATTGAAGCAGTAGGACTCTCCGCCAATCTGCTACATACACATTGTCACATCTTGGAAGACAGTAATCTTCAAAACTGCAATGAACCAAATACAGTTTTGGGATATCAAACATTCTTACACAAAATGCAGGTTATTTATTACATTGTAATTCACCAAAAACAGGAAAATGATGTTTGTATTTGGTCTTCAGCTGGCATCACAAAAATGTTCAATATATAGTAGAGTCAATTTACCGACTACACAACGGGTTTTTTTATTATCACTACATGTTTCGACCTCAAGAGGTCATCTTCAGGTGTATGAACGCAGCTGTATAATTACACGCGGGCACATTCGCTTTTCACTCATTTGACCCTGTATCTTATCCAGACTTACGCTCAATAATATATCAAGTTGTTTTTATAAAACACAAGTTAAAATATTATTCTAATTTAATTGTTAAGAGTTAAAATTTCGTGAATCGAAGTTCAATTCATGTCACTGGTTACACTTTCACTTTCACTTGTTTTACAGTCTCATTTTACTTATGCTCACTACTATGTCTAGTTCTTTTTAACTAGTTTAATTATTATTATTATTGGTTAAAAGTTTGTGAATTAAAGTTCAACTTATTATGTTGGTTGCACTTTCACTTCTTTGTGAGGTCTCGCTGTTCTTCCGCATCCTCTGATGCTGCTGGATCTGTTACGATCGTTGTCGCATCAGAGGACGCGGAAGAACAGCGAGACCTCACAAACAAGTGAAAGTGCAACCAACATAATAAGTTGAACTTTAATTCACAAACTTTTAACCAATAATAATAATAATTAAACTAGTTAAAAAGAACTAGACATAGTAGTGAGCATAAGTAAAATGAGACTGTAAAACAAGTGAAAGTGAAAGTGTAACCAGTGACATGAATTGAACTTCGATTCATGAAATTTTAACTCTTAACAATTTAATTAGAATAATATTTTAACTTGTGTTTTATAAAAACAACTTGATATATTATTGAGCGTAAGTCTGGATAAGATACAGGATCAAATGAGAAAAAGCAAATGTGACCGCGTGTAATTATACAGCCGTGTTCGTACACCTGAGGATGACCTCTTGAGGTCGAAACATGTAGTGATAATAAAAAACGTGTTGTGTAGTCGGTAAATTGACTCTACTATTGATTAAACACACAACAAGATGCAAGAAACGATTAAATGTTCAATATATGTGGGAACACTTAAACCAAGATTTCACTGCATGTGCCACGACTCCTATTCTGATTGTACAGATAGTGTGATGTCACCGAAATAATATGTGGTACTGTGATTCCTGCTCAACAGTATAAGGACGTTGTAATCCAACACAAAATCTATAAATATGTAGTTTCTTGGGGTGGGGTGAGACTGAGTCCACTTAGTACATCGGCCAATAACTGGCCCACTGTACCAGCCCCGGATGAGAGATGATGAGTGTGGACCAGTCGGTGGAATGAGAATTGGCAGGGAAAACCAAAGTACTAGGAGAAAACCTATTCCACTGGCAACTCTGTCCACCACAAATCCCACATGACTTGACCTGGGCTGAAACCCAGGCCGCCACGGTGGGAAGCCAGCAGCTAACCACCTGAGCTATGGCATGGCTTTTTATAAATATGTAAGTCACAATATCCAACTGTCACATCTGTATGTCAGAAACAAATACTACAAGCACCTATGCATAAATATAAAAGCTGGTCAATTTACAAAGGATTAATTTTGCTGTTATATGCAAGTTTTGGTCCCAGTCAAATTCTTTTCCAATTTTTCTTCCATAAGATCACTGGGATCATAAAAAAATAGATACTATCACAAACACTAAGCTAACCATTTGGCTATGTGTTATTTCATGAAAGCCCCAATATAAGACACTGCAAAACTGGTACGGAAGATGGAACTGCTATGCTTAATGCAACTATGTAGACTTCAAGAACACTTGATTTTCTAGACTGAAGATGAAAGCAAAATAGGATTACAGAGCAACGCTGTGTAGAATGATTCAGAGGCCATAAAACGTAAGTCATAACTCTTACTAAGGAAACAAAAGGAAGCATGGTCTGCAGCTAATAAATGATTCATATCTGGTATCACAGAATATGTACCTTTCATAAATTGTCACAGTAACCATGGTAACAAAACTTGTTTTACATGCACAAGGGGGTGGGGGGAGATATATGTGAGCCCAAGAACTTAGATATGTAAATTTATGAGGACCATAACGAAAGTAAGCAGCACCATCACTTACACATGTTTTACCACATAACAAGATTGGGAGTTACAGAGCCGACAGATGTATCTGTTCTCTGCAACATGAAATAAAGGTCCAGTACTTGCACACCAATATCTATCCACAATCGACCACAACAAAACAGCTGTAAGTGATGTATCATTTTTGCCAGTAAGGTGTCCTTGTATTCCTCATAAAGCAGAACATTTCTGCTGCAGACATCTTCTATCAGTTTCAGCATGTCTACACAGTTTTCTGCATTGGTGCCAGCAGTATGCAACACTGGGAAAAACCCTTCAAATATTGCAACAGGGACCCTGCCAATCAGTTTCACAATGGCTAACCAAGAACCGCTGCCATGGACTTCAACAAGCAGAAAGTCGGTGTGACCATCACAAAAGCCTGAAGGATGACAGTTAAGGAATTATAGCATAGTTTGGAATTGGATGCAATTTGGTGCAGATGATGGACTTTGGAATGTTTGCTGCTGTGCTCCCCAACTGCTGATGCTTGAGATGGATTAGACCAGAGGCTGCTCCTTTACCCTCCATAAAATCTAGACTAGGTCTATTTAGAATACTAACCATTCTGCCCCTTAAAAGATCACATGAGAAGCCAGCACTACAAAAACAATGAGGCAGTCCAGCAAACCATATGTACATGGTTGAGAAGTAATGAAACAAACTTACACTGCAGCAGCATACTGAAGCTCATGCAGCAATGGCAGAAATGCCTGGATTATTCTAAGAATTTTGTGGAATGGTTGCAAGGCATCTCCAGCAACTGAAGACACTATATATTTTTGTATATGTACCTTTGCTTTATTATAAAATAAACATGCACATGACTTTTGGTATGTCTACATAAGTGGCCACCACAATTAACAAAAACTGTTCCTCAAATTGCAGCTTATATTTATGTGCATAGGCACACTAGTATTGTTTAAATTTCCCCACAACTGTGTGTAAAGATAATGTAGCAGGTGGATGCGGGATAAGTCACAAAACAACGCTCACTGCTGGGGCAGCAGATTCTTAATAAACAGTGCTATGCAATCTATTTCTGGGCAATAGCTCAGTAAACACATTCCTGCAGCAATGACTATGCATGCAACAATACAAGAACAGTGTTTTCTGGGTGGCCCATGCTGAGAAGTTATAACCAGTAAAGTTAGAAAAATGAGCTGAAGTGAGTTCTGCAAAGGACGCTGAGAAGAGAGCGCTGTAACTGAGCTGACAGTTCAGCTGAGGGATACTTCCTGGACAGTAAAGATGTGAGCACAAAAGCTGAAGAATCCCCACTGTTGAGATCTGTTACCAAGCAACAACTAGTAAAGACACTGCAAGCTGGAGAAAACTCAGCCTGTAGTGATCTGTAAAGTGTGTAAATTAGCTACAGTGTTGTAAGTGCTTGCAGTTCTGAGTCATGTGTATAAGTGGTCAATAAATCCATTCACCAACCAAAACCCTGTCTAGAGTAACACCCCTAAAATGTGACAATATCAATCAATCTGGTCTTATCAATATTAACAGTGAACTGACCCAGGCCTCTTGCTGCCACATCTGTTGCAACCAGGATGGGGGACCTCCCATTTCTGAACTCTGCAAACAAATACAAAACACTGTGACATGATGGAATATCAACCAAAAGCTGTGAGAAATAAAACTAGAATTAAAACTGGCTGCTTTATCAAGATGATAAAGAACTCTTAATGCAAGCTGCTTATTGCTAAAATATTGTTCTAACTACATGTTGGAGGATCTTCCTTGTAGAAATGACAGCTATTTGGACAATCACAAAATCCCATTTTGTGACTGTTTATAAATTTAATTAATAACATTGTGTGAACTGCAAAGCTTATGTAGTGCAGTAAAATAATAATGAATAGTGACTTGGTAAGAATGTGGCATAGTTTAAGCAATTCTCACAAGCCTCCATGCTACTGAAGTTCATTCTGGTCAAGAGGACTTATTGATAAAGCATATAAGAACACATAATATTATATTTCAGCATCCTGTTGCATTAATATCTCACTCATTCACTTATTTCCATCCATAATACAAACACAATATTTTATTTTAAAATGTCATTTACAAGTATAATCAAATTTAAAATTCATAAGAACAGTAGAAGGGACAGATGCCTGACCTAGGAAAACTATGCATGAAGGAACCAACATGAATGCTGCAACACGAAAATAGCATGAGGAAAGCGCGGGCCTACATTCTCGAATATGACAGGCAATAATAGCATGTAAATATATTGATGTGTGAGCCCATGCAGTGCAGTGATTTCAGTCACTCAATGGCTGCCTGATGATGGCCCTGTGAGGCCGAAACACGTAGCAGCAAATAAACAGCAATAAATAAATAGAAAACGTGACTTTAATGACACCTTATGAATTTTAAATGTTATTAGAATTGACATTTTAAATAAAACGTTGTTTGCATCCTAGACAGAAATGAGTAAGTGAAATAAGATATAAGATCATAAGTATGTGAGACCATAACTTCTTCCTCTTTCCAAATGTGCAGAACTTGCAGAAGAATGACTTCTGGAAATGCTTCAAACGTTGGAAACAACGCTGGAATTCATGTACAGCTATAGGAGGCAAGAACTGCAGTTCAGCATATAAATTAATACAGTGATGTTTGTGAGATCAATCTTGTCATTTGTCAGACCTCATACACAAAAACATCTTGCATAAAATGAGATATCCCACTGATTTTGAAACTGAAAGTGACTCCTAACTAGATGCAACTTTTGCAATAAATGTGAAGGTGGCAACATGTTCAAGAGTGAAAAAGGATGACTACTAATCAACTTCTTTGACACTTTTCAGTATTTTGAAGAGCAGAGAATAAATACACAATCAGATGCTCTGTGTGGTGGAAGACAGTGACAGAAAAAACTGTGCAATGCAGAGGATGAAGATTTGGAATCTGTGAACAGCGACTGAAATTTCCGTGAAAAAGAGGCTGCCACACTGAATAATGGACCAATGGTCAAGACAAAAATCAATGCATGCTCAAAGACTGAGAACCTTCAGTGCATCACATGCATCAAGTGTCAATGACTCTGCTATGTACAGAACCATCTCATATGTACTGTATGTATGTACAAGCTGATTACCATATAATTCTGATTTTGGTACAAGAAACCCATGCATACATAAAACAACATGCTGAAATAAGGGGAAACATTTTAAAAACTCTTAATCTTCAGTTATTAACAGTGCCTACTGGAACAAGCCTTCGTACAAACTTTATAAATTCAAGTTATAGTGAGCTTGCACTACATTTCTAATGAACAAAATAAAAGTTGTCTCTATAAAGACATAAAGGTCTACATCAATAATTGATGATGCACACTTGTTTCCATAGTAGAGTGACTATACCAAAGACTATTGTGAGGTTTTTCACTGTTTTCCCTGCCACTTCCAAGCAAATGTCAGCACAGTACCTTTTTGTATGGCATAGCCATTTTCCTATAAATCTTCCCAGCCCAGTCCCTTCCAATTCTCCAAATATAATCATCTTTTCATTTCAATCAGCAATAATTAAGCAGTTCATAAAGTTTCAGCAAATATCTTCAATATGGTTAATACAACACTGTTATGACATGCAAATTATGTCTCTACATAATCCTCATGCAGACTGAGGGACTTCAACAGCTGCTCCACTGATATTCCAACGTTATCAATTATAAATCTGACTTCCTTGATTTTCCTTCACCAGTTTATAGTAATGAAGCAATACTGGGAAGGCCAAAACAGATGTGTGTACTAAGAGAAGTGAAATGGCAACTGAAAGCACACCACACTTGCTTTTACGAGCAAGAAACTCCCTACCTTCCATGGTACCCAGATGTTCAGTAATATGTTAATAAGACTTCATATTTCTATGCAACAGAAGATTTAAAAATGTCCCAAAATTCTGATCATCTTTTATAAAGCAACAAAGATAATAAATCATGATAAAATTGTTCATACCTCTCAGAACATAATCCCTCTCATGTTGTGACTTGTCTCCATGCATACACACTGCTGGATAACTGCGAATAAAATGTAACAAGAGCACTTTATAACTTCAGTAGTAAAATACTCAGACAGACAAAAATAGAAGGGTGTATTCCTATCTTGAGGTCACATATTTTCCAAAAGTTCTCCTTGTTATTTTACATATCTCAATGTTCATGTACAGCAAATCTAATCACTTTATCAGTATCACACTGTTCAAGAGCTGGACACTTTTCTGTATTAAAACATATGCACAACATTGATAAATGTCTAAAATTAAAAATTTGGGGTCTTAATGACATTGATATTCCTTCATGTATCAAGTGTTATATGGCGAGCAGCGATAGCATCGGTATAGCGACTAGCTAACGGCCTGGACGACCAAGAGGTCGGAGTTTGAGTCCCGGTAGGGTCAAGGATTTTCTCTTCTCCATGTAGTCCATACTGGCTCTGGGGTCCACCCAACCTCCTATCCAATGGGTACCAGAGGCTCTTTCCCTGGGGGTAAAGTGGCCGGGGCGTGAAGCTGACCACTCACCTCCAACTAGGGCCGAGTTCAAGAAAATGGGGATCTATACACCTAGTCCCCTGTATGCCTTCATGGTGTAGTGCTTAATTAGTTAAGCACAGGGACAACTTTACTTTACCTATCAAGTGTTAGTGCTGGTATGACAAAACTGACATACAATAATCCCTTGTTTAACAGAGGGGGTTACATCCTTGAATTATACTGTGGATATCAAAAGTGTCTTGTAGATGTACATATACATACATACATACATACATAGCATTCCATAGATCCATGAGTTAGTCAGATGACCTACCGGATGTGGAATTAGTCAAAAATCATACAATACATATATACATGCACAATTCAAGTTCACATAAATAGTAAGGATTTCACAAAAGTAGTAAAATATCCATCATAAATCCATACATTAACATATACTAGATTTTTTTCCTGTGTTCCAAACAAGAGAAAACATTACATACACTTTATGTTGTTTGGAAGCATAAATTCCTCAACAGAGTAAAAGGAGTGTGTAATTAAGTATCTCTTTAGTGCTACTTTAAATTGTCCCTGTTTATCTATAAGAGTTGTGATATTTGGTGGTAGATTGTTGAAGATTTTAATGCCAGTATAATATGCACTCTTCTGGAAACAAGAGAGGCTGGCAACTGGTCTGTGAAGCTGATTTTTATTCCTTGTGTTGACATTGTGTATTGTAGAATTGGTTGGAAAAAATTCTTGGTTTTTTACAATGAAGATCATTAAGGAGAATATGTATTCACATGGGAGAGTTAAGATCTCTAGCCTCTTGAAGATATTTTTACATGATTCTCTTGGTTTAACACCAGCCATTATTCTAACAATTTTCTTTTGTAAGATGAATATCTTCTGGCTGTAAGATGAGTTACCCCAAAAAATTATTCCGTACTTCATTACAGAATGAAAATAGGCAAAATAAATCAATTTGAGAGTCTCAGTATTGCTGACATGAAACATGCTTCTAACTGCGTAGCACGCTCCACTTAACTTAGGGATCAATTTATCTATATGGTTCGACCAACTTAGGTGGCTATCAATTTGCAAGCCAAGGAATTTCGTATTTACTGTCTCTTCTATATATTTTCCATTATATCCAATATTTAAAACATAGGGAGGGGCATTATTTGTTGTAAATTTCATTACATTTGTTTTGTTTAAATTTAGGGCAAGTCTGTTAGCATTGAACCATTTATTCATGTGGGAGAGTACTCTGTTTGATATTGCACAGAAATCATCAAACATTTTACTAGAGATTATAACACTTGTATCATCAGCAAATATTATGGGTTCTGATGAAAAATTTATTGTTGGTGGAAGGTCATTTATATATATTATGAAAAGCCTGTTATGTGCCTGTTCTTATGGGAAATAAGAGGCAAGGGGAAGCATATGCACACAAATATTAGAAATTTGTGTAACATGGTAATGATAATGTGCATGTTGTATTATAAGTATCTCTGGTACAGTATGGTTACTATCTATGCTCATCCAGAGGCCTCTGAGTCTGAATGGTGGACTGGCAGTGAGCACTGGTGTTGTGTCCCAGGTTATTAAAGGGTATGATTTTATTTAACAAGGGGTCAAGTGGGGAGGCAAGTCTCAGGTCTCACAACAGGTTATCAGCCAGAGGAATCTGCTGATTTTAGGATTCTGAGTGCACAGAATATTTATGATGTTAAACTTTGGGGATTTGGACAGGAGTTGCTCAGAGCAGTTGTGTGGTAAAGACAGCGCAAAAGAGTTTTGAGATGGCGTGCTGGCCATCTTTATTCTACAACTCATCTGGTCATGTGAGAACTTGCCTGTGTTCAGTCTACTGACTATTGCTTATTAAGTAATTTCTGGTTCACTTATTAGGATATGAATTTTTGTTTATTAATGGACTCTTAGGTTAAAGTGTAAAGTTTGATTTATTGATTGATCATTAGACTGTATAAATTTTGGTTCATGGATCAATGGGTAAGATATAAAAATGTGGTTTAGTAATTTAACGGAGTGTTAGGATGTAACATTTTGTTTGTTAAAATTTTAAAGTTGGTTAAATGATTAACTGTTCGGATATGAAATTTGGTTCATTGGTTGCAGAGTATGAAAATTAATCGAGCACATAACATTTGAGTCACTAGTTGCTTGTTAAAACAAATAGCAAATTTGACTTGTTGAGAGAATGTTAGAGTAGAAAATGTGGTTTGCTGATTATAGAGATGAAATTTTGGTCATTAATCGATGGTTAGCATACAAACCTTGGGTTACTGTTGAGATATAAATTCTGGTCAGCGAATAAATGTTAGAGTTCAAATTTGGTTTGCTGTTGTTATATGATAACTTTGGTTTACTGATTGTAGGATATACGATTTGGTTTGTACCATGTTGGTTTAAAGGAGCTTGGTTAAGCAATTTTATGAGGTACTTGTAATCAGTGAATTAGATTACCATGGAAATTTTATGGCTGTATACACTATATGTACCTGTCGATTTTATTAGATTTGTTCTTGTTTTCACATATTGAGTGTTTATTGGGGTATTTGTAATAGTTATGTCACTGGGTGGAGTAGGCGCTAACCACAGATGTTTTAACTGGTGGCAATTAGGTGGGATTAAATAAGAAATCTGGGTGCCTCACCCCCTCATTCATAGTAATAAATTGGTTGCAAGGTGAGCGGCACAATAATTTGATGGCAGTGGTGACATATAATAAGAATTTTTGTGTTGCAATCCTTTGCGATAAAACACTGGTACACATGACTCTGAAGTTAAGATCTGGCCGTGCTAATGCATGGTTAACAGAAGTTTGACTCTGTCTTGTACAAAGCAGATGTCTAACTAGAGATTGTGTATAATCAAAACTGTGTTAACCACACCCATGCCAAACAAGGGACTACTGTAGTTCAGTTCCTTATTTCAACAATTTCATAAGATTGGATGCCATATCCACAATAACTTAAACAGAGGACACTTCCACAATGAACATAATACATACTGTGGCTGGGTTGATGGTTATTTGCATATGACAGCAGCATAGAAATTGGACAGGTTCATCTACCAAACTGTTCAAGGCTTTATTGTGTCATCATTTTTACAATGTTCTATCATAAGTTACAGGGTACTGATTTTTTTGTAGACCTCTTTTTGGAACATTCCAATGTGCAGATTTCATTCTTAAATGCTAAGCAGAAGATGTATTATCAGTTACATGTTACTACAATTATAGGCACAGCACAGTTCCATGAGGGGAGAAGGTTTCAATTCAATGCAGACATTTCCTCACTATACTGTTTCCTATAAATGCAACACGTGACAATACTCGAGAGCTGGATATTTTCTGCTATCCAGTGGAACTGTAACTATATCAATGACTTCATACAAAGCTGCATTACAATGAAAAACAACTCACCCAAGACGTCGAATACTCCTGGTAATATTTTCAACTTTCCTCTTTGTCTCAACAAATATGAGGGTCTTGTTGTTTTCTTCTGATGCAATTTCTTCTAGAAGTGTGGCCAACCTGCAACATCACACTGCAATCAGAATTATGTTCCTGGATATTCAAACAAACAATTTACAATAAAACTTAACAATGTGTAATTTGTTGAACAAGTTTCAAGGGTACCATCCACCGGCATGATGTTCTTTTGGGTTTTAAAAAGCTCACACTTTTTAGACAAATATATGAGCATGACATGCAAGTAAGACCACCAACAAATTGATAATATAACTACACAGCATACTAATTTTGCTGAATATAATTGGGATCAAATGATGTCCATGCAGGAATCAAAAGAATATATTCTGAAAATGCTCGTTATTATTCGTTCAGAAAGTGTTATCATACTAGCTTCTTAACAAAATGAACTATAAATCATTATATGTATATGTAAAACAATGATTCTAACAACTAGTTTCCATGGTTGCCAAGCCTGTCTTTTACTTTGTGGGAAGAAGTGTTTACAAAACACAGAGCTCAGGGAAAACATCTGGACCAAATAGAGAAGTGGTTAATTTAGGATATTACATGAAGAGAAACATATACACATCACCTACTGTTGTTTGTATAGTGAAATCTATGTTATGACCTGAGCATTAAAAATAGGATGAAAAGACAAGAAATACACACAGAACTTTTGTGGGGGGAAATTATTGTAAATGAGTGAATTGGAAGATGTAAAAGAGATGCAAGAACAATATTCAGGCTAAAACTGTGAGGATGGGAATTAGATAGGATTAAAAGAGGATTTCATCTAACGGGAGACTTCAGTATAACAGTGATGAACGTGTAAGTTGTACTCCTAGAATTAAGTTAGGTACTAATACAACTGGTATGAAAACTGTGTTTGGAACACAGTGAGGTCAGCCTTAAGCACCAGCTGCCCTTTACCCCCCAGGAAGATCCCCGGTACTCATCTGTGTTAGAGGCTGAGTTGACCCCAGGGCCATAGTGCGACCAGAAGGATTAGGTAAATTGAAAAAATAAATCCACCTCATCAGGACTGAACCCGTGACCTGCCAGCTTATAGAACAGTGCCTCAACCAACTACGTTACCACATGCCTCCAGCACCAATACTGACTACTGTTAAATAACCAGCTTACAAAAAAATACTGTGTGGTTATAATGGTGTAGCTAGACAAGTGTCCAGAAGACTTACCTAAACAAACCTGGATATTTTTCATAGATAATGTCATGAACATGGAGTGTGACTATAGACAAGGATCTGAATGGTAATTGGATCTACTGAACACTTATACATACAACTCATAATTACAAGTAACTGTAGCGTTATTCCTAGGTCACAGTCTGTAATTCACTACAGCACACTTCTCAGCCTACTGTGTCTTCACCAGTTTTCTGGTAACAGCTATCAAAGCCAGATATTCCCTTCCATCTGGGTTCCTGAACTGTCCTCATGCTTCATCTACCAGCTTCTAACAGCAACAGCTCACAAGGAGTGAACAGCAGCAGTCCTCTCACTCAATCACTCACTCACCAAACAACACACACCACTAACTGCCAGGCTGGCAGCCACCTCACATCAACCTCCTACTCCTCTCGCTGCTGTCTCAAGACTCTTTCATAATAGCAGTTGCTCATCATTATATAGCCTCAGCATGGACCGCAGCCATTACCTAACAATAGTCGTTCTTTATAGAACCACTACTTAGAAGTGGCTATTGTATAGCTGCTTATATCATAGCTGTTGCCTAGCAATGGGTCTATGTACCACATATGTTACTACATAAAAGTGCAAGATCATTTACTGAACACCATTATGTTCTCTGAAGAAATAGCCATGTGTCCTCATAAGAACAGTGTATTAAAAGGCAGCAAGATGAAGGGATCTCCAATGGTGTGATAATCAAGGACAGTCCATAAAAAATGACTGATGTCTATAAAATCAGTTGAACCAGGGGACAGATTGACAAACACAAAATTTGCTAACAGGTTTCTTTTATTATGAATAATCAAAAACTTTCACCCACTTCTGTTCCTTCTCGTACTCCTGACAGACCTCAACATTTTGCACTATGTTGTGGTTGGCTGCCAACTGCAAGGATCCAATGTTCACTTGCACATAGTTGTTCAAAAACTCCTCCGCTAGACTGCGCACTTCCTTTGGCCATGTGGCTGACCACATCAGCGTCTGTCGGTCTGGCTGCAAACAACAATTCTGACTGTTCACACCTCATCAAACTTATGAACAGCTAATCACATTACATGCTAATGTAACAGCGCAATCGCCAACTGCAAGCACAAATTAAGAGGGAGGGGAGACAAACAAACAGAAACAAGGCAATCTATATCATTTAAACAACAACAACAAAGCAAAACAAAAGAAATCAGTTGTCATTATAAAGTCAGAAGAGAAAATGCATAGATTTATATTGAATATAACTAATATTTTAATAAATAAAAAGTACCATGGCTGTTATAAAATTATTGAGAAAAACAATTTTTGTTTTAAATATATCTGTATCTCTAGAAAAATTAGAAGTTGATATATATCAAGCAGAAGGACAATTCTTACTTTAGGAGCCGACACTGAACACAGAAAAGTCTCTAGGATATAGAACAAGAGGCTGAAGGCTAACAGTTGCCAAAAGGGAAGGAAAGAATTTGAAACCAAGGTAAGCCTTAGCAAGGAACAGTGCATTCAAGATGGTATCTCCTCTTATGCATGAAGTTGTAAGCGTTCCTGCTGGATGCAGTCCAGTTTGTTGGCATCAGTAGGCATAACAGAATTCCAAACAGACAGGCATTCTAGCTTAGTTCTAAGGTATTATATGAAACATAAAGGAACCGGAAAGACGGAAAGGTTATAGCGTAAACTAGATCTTACAACATGGTGAAAATATATGATCAGCACAATTATGAAAATGAGTTTAAATATCCAAAAATCTTTAAGAGTCACTACAGGTTGTTGATGATGAACAGAGTTTATAATCATAAATCAGTACTGTGACATGATGCCTGAAAGCCGGAACAGAGAAGCCAGAACACATGGTCACTGTTAGGCAATGCTTGGCAAACATGTTCCTGCAGTAACAAATAACACATGTGACAATGGAACTGTCCAAAAAGTTGTTTCCTATGCAGTACATGGCAAGGCTATATAACAAGGACCAATGGGATGCAGCAATTATATGACTGAGTGAAGTTAGTAATGAGTCATGAGTCAACACTCATGAGTCACCACTCAGAGTTGGTGGTTAGCTGTGAGCATGGAAGGAGGGGAAACTTCATGGTTAGAAGCCACTACCTAGCAACAACTAATAACGACATAAGAGACTAAGAAGATTTAGTGTGCTGTAGTGATCTGCGGAGTGTGTAGATTAGTGGCAGTGTTATAATTATTTGCAGATATAAGTCATAAACAGTCAGTATTGGTGAGTGTTACAATTATTTGTAGCTGCAAGTCATGAGCATTCAATAAATCCAATTACCAATCCACACCCCATGCCTTGTCACTAACTTGTGACAACTGGTGCCAGAAATGGGACTGGACTGACTGGATATGAATTAGTGGACTGACTGAATTGTGCATCACTGAGTTGGAACCTGCACAATGGATAATGACTGCAGACTTTGACCTCCTTCTAACACAACTGGTAGCATACAACAGAAAATTAGTTCCGTTTTATATGCAAGATGAAGCACTGCATTTTCTTAACACACACATTGTGGGTAACTGAGTTAAAAGAAGAAAAAAAGAAGCCAAAATCGATAATTTACAAAACTACATGTTCCTGCATTTCTATTAAGAGAGACAGTAGCATAGTGTGAAATGTATTGTCACTGATGTTTGTACTTTTCTGTTTGATGTAGTATATTTAAACAAGTATAAAAGCACTTCACCAATATGCTGCATTCAGTAAAGACAAAGCTTCTCCCATGTAGGGTTGATGTAAATCATAGAAGCTGATGACCTATGATTCAAGCCACAAGTTGCCAACCAAAGATGAGGTCAAAAGGTAATTTAGAATTCAGTGTTAATTTACTGCAAATCAGCAGTCACATGATGACACTGATAACATCCAAGCACACTCACCAGCAACAAAAAATACAGGAATGTCACTAACAGTGAGTTTTTCCATACTGCATGACACTTCTCCCACTTCCTTCTCATCCCAGTGGACTACTGTTGGGTACGTAACCATGGAGATCACTGGGTCTCTGTATTTCATGACAGGTACAAGTGCAGATGAAGGCACTGTCTATTTATATTCAAACATACCATAATCCCCTCTCTCAAACATTCAATGAAGGCAGGGCTGTGTAAATTTTGTGAGCAAACCTGGTATTTACTAGCTTATCAGAAAGTCTGAAGAAACAGGAGTGTGTGTGCAATAAAATACAAAGGGACAAAAATGTACAATGTCTGTTCACGCAGAAGTTATAAACATAACACGGCAATAACATTCTCTGACGGAAAAAATAAAGCACTCACTATTAATTACAACAGACAGTGGCCTCAAAAAGCACCATGAGAAAAATTTGTCATGACAAATCAACCACTGTAACATACTACTATGAATACTTATGGGGTACTACTTGACAAAACCTCTGATAGGTTTTGAAAGTCATATGGCTCTAACACAAGGATCTCTTTCTTTGGTTGGTTATATTAACAAAATGTTCATTTCGGGCCTGTGAATAAACAACTTACTGTTGCTAACTCACTGTGCCCAAAGGGTTACATATGATGTGTATTATCAGGTGTCATAATACCTGGCCATGAGTTCACTAATGGTAATCATTTAATGTGTTTACCTCGCTCTGTTAAAGGATGACTTTGTTACTTTCCTATAAGGATGTGTACTGCAGTGAATATAGCCTGGTTTGAAAGAAGATGGTAATATGCCTCAAAAAATTTATTATTATGAGGGATATTCAGAAACTAATGATACAACTCCAGTAAAAATGCAAGTGATTATTTTCTCAGAAATGGCAGTGCTTCCATGTGAAATTGGAACCGTATGACCAGGCACAGTTCACCAGTCACAGTCACGGCAACATTGTACTTGCAGTGTGCGTTTTAAGTGCCATGTCGATTCAAAATGCCACCAAACGTGAAGTTCATCCAGTAGTTAATTAGACTTCCACCCACCTACGCCTTAGTCTTCCCCGTGGTCTCTTTCCTTCTGGCTTTCCCACCAATATCCTATGCATTCCTCTTCTCCCCATTTGTGTTACATGTCCTGTCCATCTCACCCTCCTTGACTTGATCATTCTAATTATACTTGGAGAAAAGTAAAAGTTATGAAGCTCCTCATTATGCAGTTTTCTCCAACCTTCTGTCACTTTATTGTGTTACCCAAGGCTCTGTACTGGGACCTTTGTTGTTTTTACTGTATATTAATGATCTCCCCTTGGCCACTGGTGGATCAGCTACTCCCATTCTTTTGCCAACAATACTAGTTTAATAGTTATGGATAAAACACTTGATATTCTAGATACTAAACTAAGTGCAAATCTTCAAATAGTTTATAACTGGTTCATATCATATTTATTATCTATCAATTTTTAAAGACACACTGTATGCAATTTATGACAAAAAATTCTGTGTTAACTGAGACCTTACTTCTTTGTAATAATAATGTAATCTCTGAGGTTTCTCACTTAAAATATCTTGGTCTGGAAATGGATAACACATTATCCTGGAGTTTGCATATTGACAATGTTTTAAATTAATTAACCAGAGTTTGTTATATGGTCAGATCAGCCAAACCTTATTGTCTCTTTCCTCACTCCTTATTTCATTCTATATTATCTTACGGTAGTATATTCTGGGGTCAGTCTATGCACAGCAAAAACGTTTTATGTTACAGAAAAAAGCTGTTCGTTTAATGACAAGATATGCAAGTAGGACCTCATGTAGGGATCTTTTTAGACAGATTTTACCATTGAAATCTCAATATATTTTTTCAATCCTGTTGTTTGTTCTAAAGAAAAGGAATCTTTTACTACTAATTAAGGCAGGCATAATGTACAGACCAGACAGACACTGTGAAAATTTATATTTTCCTCCTTCCTCTCTATCATTGTATCAAAACAGTGTTTACTACGCTGGTATTAAGATTTTTAATAAATTACCACTTGAATTAAAAGAGCTTGTACAGATGCCTAAAATCTTTAAGAGTTCCTTAAGATGATATCTGGTGTTGCACTGTTTTTACACACTGGAGGAATTTTTAATATGTTCTTCATTTACATTCAATTTTTTGTAATCATATTTATTTATGTTCTATGTCTATGTTATGTATATTTTACATTATGTTGCCTAGACTCATTCCAATGATTAATTGGAACATTTGTTCTGATATGTGACTCATTCTATAGACAATGGTTTGTGAATATATTCCATAAATGAAATCTGCCTTTTAGTCAGATACAAAGTGAATTTCCACAGCACCAGTGACCAAGGTTCTGCAGCACTGTGTTCTTTGTTTGTGCCAACTCTAAGCTTCAAAATGTTACACTGAACAAATAGTGGTTTACAACACAATTTTTTCAGTAGTAAAGAAAGAAAGATGTGTAAAATTTTCATCCTATAATGTCCAATGAGGCAAAAAGTATTGCATAATCAATACTGAAACATCACAGAGAAAAATATGAAAAATAACCTCTAAACAAAGCAGTACTAGAATCATTTTTTTAAACTACATGAACATACTAACTTATGAATCTGCTGCTGCCATTCCTTACTACATGTTCCCCAAGCAGTAAACAGAACCTCACTGTTGATACAGAACAAACATATTTACCTCTGTCACTATGAAAGACCATTACTGGACTATGTATGGGAAAGACCTAAAAAGTCACATGCAAAAGTTTGTTTCAAGTGAGAAAGAGAGGAGTCATGTGTTTGGTGATAGCAACCATTAAGCCGCTCTTTGTAGAAGGTTGCAAGAACATGAAAACCAAAAGTGGAAAATCATTTCTTCATAGAAAGTCAGGAGAGAAGGAAATTCCATTCTGTTCATATGATACCTACATTCTTTGGGTACCTTCACCAATTTTATTAAAACAGACTCATGATACTGCAACCCTGTGTGTAAAATCAAACAAGTTTGCAAATCCACAAATTTCCCGCCACTACATGGCCAGTACTACAACTGAGGGCTAGGTTTATACCTTGAAGAAACTGCTAAATTCTCTGCAACAGGAAACCACTCTGCCACAGCACAGTGTCATCGCCCATACTATGGAAACAGGGATTCATAACAATTAATTATCTAATTAAGTAACCTTCACTCACCCGAATTTGCTCAATGATTCTGCGTATCTGTGGTTCAAATCCCATGTCAAGCATCCTGTCTGCCTCATCCAAAACTAAGTATGTGCAACGCTTCAAATTGGTTGTTCCTCTCTCCAGGAAGTCAATCAGGCGACCTGGAGTTGCAATGCATATCTCTACCCCACGCTCCAAATCCCGTGCCTGCGACAAATGCAGAAGCATATTTCAAATATTTTACTGCCACTGCTGCTGCCACCAACAATGGAACCTATAGTTCCATCTTGACAATATTATGGAAGGCATACACTTGAATCATCTGAGCCTGCCACAAAAAATAGATATGTAAAATCTCTGTATATGGCACCTTTAGGGCAACGGTGTGGGGGGGGGGCTGAATATGAGCACTAAGGAAAATATTAAATGGGGGAAACTAACTGAGGCTGCCGCTGCCGCCACCACCAACACCACCACCAACTGGCTATACAGACCTTTGTGGGCCTTGGCCCACACTGCCATTTGTCTAGAAAATGTGGGAGCCTCAACGTCTCAAAACACTATGGGCCTTCACAGTCTGTTACAGGAATGCTACTTTTATGTTCAATTTTTTTTTATAATTTTGTGACTGTCTGGATGCACTTCCCCAAATATGTGAATGTTGCCCATAATTATGTAACTAAATCAATACATGATCTAATGCATTCCTACATTATATTTGCAGATACAAACATTGTGATCCTCACAGCTGGAATGTATTTCATTAAACCAGTAGTAATAAATTTCAATGTAATTCACTTCTAATTAACCAAAAAAAATTTAATCTTTGACTATAATTTTAAGACATAAGATCCTTATATAGACATACATATTGCAAATACTGCGCCACAGCTCAAGTGGTTAGTTGCTGGCTTTCCACTGCGGTGGCCCGGGTTTGATCCTGGGTCTGGTCAAGTGGAATTTGTGGTGCACAAAGTGGCACTTGGGCAGGTTTTCTCTGAGTACTTCAGTTTCCCCTGACAATCCTCATTCCACCAATTGTTCCACAATCACCCTCACCTATCATCTGGGGCTGCTACAATAGGCCAGAAGTGGCCACAGTACAAGGGACTTAGTCCCACCCCACTAGCAATAAAAAAAAAATATTGCAAATATGTGCAATATTTCCAATTAATGTTGATGATATCCCTGATAAAAGCCAAGATAGGCCGCAACACGTACTCTGTGTACTCACAATAAACTCGTCACATCTGAAGGAATATATACTTCTCATGTACATAGTATACAATATGATGGAACAAGATCTATGCAGTTAAGATAAGAACTGGAAAGTCTGTTGGCTGCATGCCTTAGACAATCCAGTACCACCACTGTAGTAATCAGTGGCACAATGCTAATATAAAAGATTCTATATGCTGCCACAGGTTGCAAATTCAAGATTTTTAATTACAACGCGACACAGCATTGTATACAAAACTGTACTGGGAGACTGCTAAAGCATATTCTTCAACAACAGGAGAAGGAACAGTAACTCAAAATTACTGAAGGTTATGAACCCCAACATTTACATTGTTGAGACTGGGCTGTTCTTCAGGCTTCCACCTAAAAAGGCAGTGAATCTGAAAAGAGGTCCTTGCAATGGTGGAAAGAATGCCTAAGATACTGGAATGCTGACAGGACCCACAAATTCCCAGCATTTGTTACTGGGGAGAGTGAACTTGGTCATTCATATATTATTACCACAGGCAACTTGTAAGAGAAACTATTTCTATGACTGATCACAAGTCAATACTCCTGAAAGTAAATATTCTGGATGTACAACATTTCACTGTGGAATCATAGTATTGTGTCATACATATGACCATAATGAACTATTTTCAGAAATGTGGATTCAATTTCAATCAAACTGATGACGGTGAAGATGCAACATATCTTAGCATAGGTGAAGATGACTGGAGTCAGCTGAATGCATGTGTAACAGTTCAAGAATATACATCCTGCAATAATGATGTTGTAATGTGTAACTGGGCTGACCTCAGATCAAATGATAGATAAAATGTTTATATCTGGTGTGTCTGAACACAAGGAGGAATATGGTGGAAAAAGTGAACCTTCAGCAACATTTCTGTCAGCACTGAAGGCATCAACATTATGAGGAAATACCTCATGAAGTTTGTTGTCAACTGTCATGTCATGGCTGCCCTCAGTAATCTTGAGAATGATGTGTACAGTTCACCAGAAAATGAAGAAGCACCAATTTATTTCAATGGACACATGGAAGTGAACTAGATAAACTGCACTTTTAATGTAATTTAATACAGTATTAATTTAATGTATTTAATTTCAATAGCTACATAAATTTTCATTTCTCCGGACTAGAGGCTATGGGGATCCGTTGTACTGACCACGTAACACCTTCTACCTACAAAAGTTGGCCTTAACTTAGCCAACAAGCAGCTGGTCACTTGGTCGGTATAGTTCGCTTGCAGACTACAGGCCACAGAGTTCTGATTTTACATTCAGTTTAAGTTGTCCCTTCAGAAATGTAAAACCCATGTTTCATGGCATGCACGAACACGATATCTCTTGCTCTCTCTCTCTCTCTGTATTACCAACCTGTGGGCCTTTGGGGGCTCCCCCAAACACACATGTATTTCGGATGTATGATGAAGAGCCAAAGATCTTCGCAATTGTCTGGATCTGTTGGGCAAGCTCCCGGGTTGGAGCCAGGACTAGTGCTATGGGGCCATCTCCCCGTGACAGATGCTCCTGATTGTTGATGTGCACAGTTGCTGGCAAGATGTACTGAAACAGACCAGCAACAAGTCTGTCACTATAAGCTTAAGTATGGACCTTTTCCTTTGCATTCTGTTAACAGTCCACTCAATAGTTACTTAGGAAAACGAACAGATAGAAAAAACATAATTTTGTTATGTGTATGAGTGACTGCAGACGGGGTTTCGATTATTAATTGGATGTACTGAACATTTACAAAATGTAACTTCAAATAACGACAGTCTCACTAAGTTAAACACTCCAAAGATCATTGTAACTACAGCACACATCAAGTCTTCTCAGTGGTCCATGGCTGTTGCTTGGTAGCGGCTTCAAGTGGTGGGCATTCCTCTTACTCTGTGTTCCCAAACTGACGCCAGGCTCAGCTATAGCAACTCGTGACTAACTCTCTCTAACTGTCCTGCTTATAACATCTTGGCACAGACCACGCACAACACAGTTCCTCTGCTGCAGTTCCCAATTGCTTCTGCGCCATGATCAATAAATCCAAACCTGTTATTATTAGTCACGCCCATACATTTGACAATATTATCTACCCACCTATGTCTTGGTATTCCTAGTTGTCTCTTCCCTTCTGGCTTTCCCACCAATATCCTACATGCATTCCTCTTCTCCCCCATTAATGCTACATGCTCTGCCCATCTCATCATCACTGACTTCATCATTCTAATTATACTTGGAGAAGAGTACAAGTTATGAAGCTGCTCATTATGCAGATTTCTCCAACTCTTTTGATCCAAATATTCCCCTCAGCACCCTCTTATCAAACACCCCCAGCCTGTATTCCTTCCTTAATGTCACAGACCAAGTTTCACACCAGGCAAAATTATTGTATATTTTAATTTTTATGTTTTTAGGCAGTGAAATAGCTCTATCTCATAAACTCTTCAGAATAAGACATGTGTACCTATATACTCTTTGCTATATTATAAACTGTATAATAGTTCCTGATATTCTTTTAATATAAAAGACTGTATTAAATATTTAATATCTAAAAATAACTTTGTCCCACTGTACTAGACACGCTGGGTTAAAATCTGTACCAACAGGGTTAACTGGTGAATAATACTGGTCTGTTATGAAAAAGATGTCTCAATTTTTAATTCTAACTCCAGTCCTTCTCCAGTTGAGCAGTTTGGCCAATTAACCCGTTGCCGTGGTTTGACGTGTATGTTTCGTCAGGTATTTAAATCGTCTGGGGGGGTTCGACGTGTATGTTTCGTCCAGCTGCACACGTATGTTATAACGCCCATAATAATTGATGGTTTTGCTGTAGATTGTTAGATTTTTCACTGGCCTGTTGTCAGGAGGACTGTATTTAATGACACACGCGTTTAAGAGCGCTAAGTCGTCGTTACATATGCCTGTCTTGCAGCAACGTTCCTGTGGCTATTGCGAGCTGTT